ACATTTAGATGCCAAGAAGCTCAGAAAGTAACCGACTGTGACTAGTAATAATCAGATATATAGAGATTAGAAATGCATGTGCAAACATCTAAGTGTTAATTGCATTAAAAATGAATTTTTCTGTATGAAACTGTGTATTTTAATAATGAAATAGAAATTTTTTTAAAGATTAAAACCTCAATTTTATGTCTTATAGGGTTTATACTGAGAAAAATATTATAACTGTATTAATTCAACTGTAAACCTAAAAATTTACAGCCAATTTCGAAAGAGAAGCATCTTAGCTCCGGAAATTGTTATTGAATATGTCAATGCTGTTGCAATGAAATGCCTCTTCTAATTATATGGTTATTAAATAAATAAAAGAAAAAGAAATTATCAAAAAAAAAAGAAATTATCTCTTCTCCTTGTGTATCCAAAATAAACCTGTGTTGCTACAAGTAAAAAAAAGCAGTACCAAAATGAATGTCAACTGGAAGATTTGGCATTTACTTATACTGCATCCTTGGGGCAGGCGTTTTTTTTTTTTAGCCATCTGAACAGAGCGAATATTTCACACTTCAGAAATAGCACAGAGCAGAGTCACACAATAATGACCCTACACGGGCCCCGTCTGCTCAGATAAGAGATTTGGCTATGATAGACTCTTGTTTCCATGTCTAAAAAGGTAGTTGCCTTTATTTTTCCTGACAATTTAATGCATATCGAGGAGCAACACTAACCATAACAGTAAAAACTGTGTCAATAAACAGAAAACGCATGACCACTTATCTTCAAATGCAAGAAAAGTCTTGGAAAATTTTTGCCCTTTGCTTCTGCCCTATGTATCTGCCATTAAGTGCAATTAGTATTATAATTAATTTGAGGCTCTCTGGGCTTGGTGATACTAAGCATAACATTGCAAAACTTTACAACACTAAGCAAAATTGACTATATTTGTTGCAAAGGGCAAAGTATGAACTTCAGACTGGAATCACAGTCTGGGCTAGACAGAGAATCTATACTATTTTATACTATAACACAGGAAAATAAGTTTGGTTCATTTATTTTATTGGGCCTAAGTGCTCTGAATGCCCTTAAAGGTCAATGTGTCTATCACCTAGACACTAGGATTAACAACAACAATAATTTAAAACAGGAGACATTCTGTTTATACAATGAACACGTTGCTATAGAAATGTTATATGGCAGGAAGGCAACACAGCATAGGGTCTGGGTGGGTGGCTTTCCCACAAACAATTCTGTGATTGTGAGATTGACAGAAAATAACTGGCTATTTTCCAGTAAATTGGAGATTACAATTCACAGATGACTTTCAAGTTCAAGGCCTCTGCCTAGTCAGACATTTCTACATTTCCACATTCCCTTCTTCCTGTGGTACAGCTGCCCCCAAAATCAGGCAGGACAGGAACCCACGGAACAAGTAGGTGGTATGCAAGAATATCTCATACTGACCAGAAGTCTGCAGAACCCTCAGACGGTGCGGTACAGGACAAAACCAGCTTCCTAAATATAAAGGCTGAAACCACCTGTTTCCAGCAGGACCATCCCTTCCCTCACAGGGGTGTGGCGGGGGTGGGGGGTGGTTCTGATGAAATAGGAATAAGAAACATTAAAGTGATAAAAATGGATTTTTTTCAGATTTACTTCTTTAAATGTCAGTATATATGATGTGAGATTGTATGCATATTCGTGTATGTGAGTGCACGTGTGTTTATGTCACGGGGTGCATGTGGAGGTCAGAGGACAACCTTGGGTCAGTCCTTACTGTCCACCTTGTTAGAGAAAGGGTCTCCTGTTCTCCACCTTGAACACCAGGTTAGCTGGCCCAGCAGTTTCCTCTCCTCACTGTAGGATGCTGTTGTGTCTGGCTTTTTACATGGGTTTTGGGGATTTGAATCCCAGTCCTCGTGCTTAATGACAAAGCATATAAATACTGACTTATCTCTCCAGCCACTTTTTCCAGATTTCTTATTGGCAAAAAATAAAAACTGAAAGAAAAAGAGAAGGAGTAGGAAGAAAATAGGGAGGGGGAGAGAGAGGAGAGGGGGAGAAAGAGAAAGGGAGAGTGAGCGAGCAAGAGAGACAGAGAGAGGGGGGGGGATCAAGTAGACCTAGCTCAGAAGTGTTGTGTCTGCTATACATATGATCAAAATCAAAACTGAACTGGAAGCCTAAAGGGCAGTAATTACTTAGTGATTTGTTTTTTCCACAGTAATTGAACTATGAAAAGTGATTTCTTTTTTAATGCTAAGATTGAGCTACCTCTGTATTACAAAGACTGATAATGCACATCCACAGCCATAAATTCTAAACTGCAACAGTCCTTTATGCCAGAGAACCAATTAAGATCTTTAATTACAGTTTATGGAATGAGGGAAGCTGTATAGGCAGTCATTTCTGAACACTACAAGTTAATAAATACAATGAAAAGCCCTTCAAATTTGAGATCGTGTAATCCCTGATACGTTATAAAGGGTCCTTGGTTGCTAAGAATGAGGTTCCAAGTCCAAAGTCCCTACTGAATTATCATTGCTTCAGTCCAGGAACTGGCCTGGATGCTTCTGTTTCTTACCTGGCCCCTGCCTTCAGCTTAGCCTGTCAAAGGTCAAATTAGTGCTCTAAGACTCTAGTTCTAAGCCCAGAAGGCAAGCACTGTCTCCTTCACAACTCAAGAAATGTGACCTTAAAGAACAAATGTGATAAAGAATAAACTGCAAAGCTAAGCATGGTGGCCCATGCCTGCAATCTCAGACTTGCGGGGGTGGGGGGGGAGAGCAGAAGTTCAAGGCCATCCATGGCTATATAGTGAGTTGGAGATCAAGGAGACCCTGTCTCAAAAACAAACAACAACAAAAGAACACAGTCTAGAGTAAAAAATTCTTTAAGATCTGGCCATGGCATTATTGGCTGTCAGTCACATACAGATCTGAGAGTTTGCCTGATTGGTTTCTCATGTTTTTATAAAACTCAAACATGGCAGCAAGGAAAACAAGACACACCTGACTGCTGAGCAAACACGGAGGGATGGGTGCTTTCCTTGTTTGGCTATCATTACTGAGACTGTCAGGCTGAGCTGTCATGTTGATTGTGGCAGATGGGGCCACAAACAACTAGGCAACCCCTGAAGGTCTTGTGACAGTGCTTAAGCAGGTGCACTGGCACACAGAAATTCGACTGACTCGGCTGCTCCATGGTCTATCACAGCTCTTTGCACTACTGCACATCTGGGGCCACGCCCGTCTGACATCTGCTTCCATCTCCACTTCTAGGTGCCTTCCCAAACATCATACAGTTCGATACAGGGATTGAATCTGTGTGACTGATCACTCTGGTAATGAGCTAACTCATCCTAATTGATCACGCTGAATCTTTTAAGAAAGTAAGTGCCTAGTTCAACGATTAGTCTCAATACTGTCCAGCCCCAGGGGCTTTACAGGCTTGTGCCTTGTCATTTTTCAAAATCTTAAATTTCAAATATCAAGTACCATCAGGTTATTTAACATACATGAGTAAAATACTAACTGCAGATCTGTGGAAGGAACCAAAATGATTTTACAAGGAGTAACTGAACACACAGTAGAGATTTAAGAACTAAAGCTGTTTTGCAAACTGGTCCAATGCACGCATGGTTAACCTGATAAGCAAATAAAGAAACCCAAATGACAAAGTACACACTGATATGTGTTTTTCCACGCACATCAGCACTAGGTTTTCTTGGCAACCCACCCAGCTTGTGACAAATTAACTAAGATGCTGTGCCAGGTAGTGTGAACATCCTATACTGGACTATCTTTTCTGCAGTGTGTCTGGATTTAGTCTACCTAAATACAAAACAGAAGACAACAAAGTTTGTTCTTCTCTAACCTGCTGGCTGAAGGTGAAAAACTCAAGAGGCTGAGAACATGGCAGGACTGTTATATATGCAGGGAATTGGGAACCCTGGATGTGGGCATTGGAGCCCAGTCACCTCACAGACCAAGGTCATGGTGTAAAAGAGAAAGAAACCTTTACAGCCAAGTGGCTAAGAGGTCAGTGCTGGGTGTTCTGGCTGTCAGTGTACTTGAGTCTATGGTTTCTCCTTCTTTCTTTTCCTTAGGTATGAGTTAAGCATTATTTTTAGTAACTTTCACCATGTGCCAAACATTCTCTGAGTACTTTACTATACAGTCATGAACTTCACAATACATTTTCCTCAACAAAGGTCTGTGTATGCAATAGGCTAGACTGTACAACACCCTAGCTATATAGTAGGGTGCACTAGCTAGGCTTGGCCAGGTATACTCCATGGTGTCCACATAACCTAATGTAGCCCTATTTTTTTTTAATTTTTTTTTAAC